CTCCAATCACGCCTTCACTGTCACAATATTTTACTTGCTTAATTAAATGTGGTCGGTGTGACCTTTTTTTAGTGGCTTTCATGAGAACCCTCCGCACTCCACGCTGGCCTTCTCACAGCCCTTTATCCTTGTGCTGGGAATTTTGATCAGAGTCTGCCATATTCTTACGCAGTCCACCTTCCATAGGTCTTACCACAGTCTCTCTTTTGCCCTGTAAGATCCGTCTGTCATCTCCCTGGTTCACATATTTCACTCGACCCTTGCCACTACATTATTATTAATTATGCAATAAATGTCCTTATGCGATTAGATCAATATAGAATTACATATTAATTTTCACTAAATATCCTCACATTTTTAGCCTATGCATCACTCACCGAGATATACACAAATATGTTCGAGTCTTCTTTGTTGCCTTTTGCATATTTAAACCCTCTTTTTACTATAAATTTTGTCTGTTTTAACTATTTATTAAATTCGGAATGCATAGTGACTTGATTAGGCAGAATTCATATTCTTGTTTGATTTAATTTTAAATTACTCAACTATAAGCTGTGCATTTCGAGTCCAAGAGCAAGCTTTATGTTGTTCTCTAAATTCTTTGGTGATTTAAGGAAGCTATTTTAGCTATATTCTAAGTAATAAGATTAAATTATTTTACAAAATCAAATATTCCTTTTAGCCAATCATTTCTGACTCTAAAAGCTATCAATAATTACAATTTCTTTATCTGTTATGTTTTGTTATATGAAGGCATAGTTTTTTAAGGCTTTACCTTTATTTCAAGGTGCATATTCTATATTTTCTTTATACTATCGAATAGCCAGAATTTTCTCTGGCTAATTTCTTTGTTTATGATATGCCTTTTTTTATATTTATCTGATGATACTAAACATGCTACGCTGTAATCATTCCATAGATTTTCATACCATTCATATACATCTATATTTGGTCCAGAACTATCTTAAAACCTTGTATTGCCAAAGATCTCCTTTAATCGCCATGGCTTTACCTTGCTTAGAGTAATCATATTTATTTAATATTGTATCTCCTATTTGATCCTTATATGCCATAATTGTACTATTATAAGCATAAATTACGTATATCCTAGGTGCATATATCCTTTATTCTGCCTTAAATTGAGCTTGAAATTCTGTAACTTAACTAAAAGTTGATTATAACGTGATTTAACGTTCTTACACGTCTAAAGCTAAGGTTTATTTAGAAGGTGTCGCCTAATACTCTGCACTTTACTTCAAGGTAAAATTACACACCTGTTTAGAATGATTATAAATGCATGGGATTATCTCCAATAATTATCTCCAATGATTATATCCAATAATATATCATAATTGTTTTATAATTTTCAAACTTATCAGGACTCACTGCAATTTTGATATACTAATTTATTGTTCTAATGAGCTGTGTCCTTGTATCCTTTTGCTTTCATCTATGTGTCTTGTTTTATTCTACTCTGCTCCTCAGTAATTCAAGCTTGCCAGAAATTTGGTAACACTGGCCATTCCGTCCGACTGCCCTCTCCACTGGCATTCTACACACACCAAGCCAATTTACTTAACACCTTGGGCCGGCTACAGCGTGACGTGGCAACTGTGCCCCGACCGGAGAATCAATTTGTCAATTTAGTCTGTAATGTCAACCCCATAAAAATGACTAAAAATGGTCAGTCCCTTTTATCACGCAGATAGATGCTCCCTTATCTTTGCTAGCATAGCTCAATTCGCCTTATCCGGTTATTCCTTTTTAAAGTGGGAGATACATATTCCGGTTTGATATGCTTCGATACTATCGGTAGAGGACAGATAAAATGTCCTATTAAGGGGCTACAGACATCTTTTAAAGGAAAAGTTGTATTCTAAAGTTCTCAAATACGTTTCTTTTAAAAGGATATGGTTTAGCTTTTTATCGTAAATGAGTAGATTTTCGAGACTACCAGTAAATTATATATATGAGTTGTGTTCACTCTATTTCGTTTAAGGTGGTGAAGGACTGGTAGTTGATTTTTCCACAATAATATGAGTAGAGCTGATGTTTTCCATTGAATTTCGCATAGCCTTTCTTTCACAAAAGTTGTTCTCATCCAAGCAGAAGGGGACTGCAGTTTTGACCTCGCCTATGTCGTATCGACACCCCAAGCGGGAGTCGAACCATGACAGTGCAGCGCGTAAGCTTGACACATAAACCAGTACCCGATATTACCACTAGTGCCCTTGGGTCATCAGACAGATGCGAATTTAAAGGAATGCCTGGCATTTTCCTTATCTCATTCTCTGTTGGGATTGTCGACGAAGCAAGCTTATATTTTCTATTGCAATCAACGACATAACTTTTTCGAGTCTACGAGTAAATCAGATATATGAGTTTTCTTCACCCTATTTAAACGACCACCTAAACCAAATAGGATAAACGCAACTCATATATCTGTCTTACTGGTAGCCTCGCAAACCTATTCATTGATGATAAAAGTAATGTTGTCGATTGCAAAAGCAAATATAAGTTTGCTTCACGGACAATTCCAACACAGAATGTGATATGGAAAATGTCTGGCATTCCTTGAAATTAACATCTGCTCCATGACCCAAGAGCACTCATGGCAATATGGCGAAGTGATTTATGTGTCGAGCTTACAAGCTGTTTGCTCCCACTTGGGGTATTGATAAGACCTAGGCGAGATCTAAACTGCAGTCCACTTCTGCTTGGATGTTAACACTCTTTGGGAAAGAAAGACTATGTGAAATTCAATGAACAACATCAGCTCTACTCATATCATTGTGGGAAAATCAACTACCAGTCCTTAATCCCCTTAAATGCAATAGGGTGAACACAACTTATATATGGTTTAGACTGCCTAATGGTTGGTAGTGTCGAAATGTTTCTAGAACTTAATGCTTAATGCTTGTGACTATTGCCAACTATTATCGTCTATCGGATAGCTAAAATCCATATACCTTGAAATTTAAATCCGTCTACTGATCGGCAAAGGGTTAGTCTATTTCTTTTTCAGTTAATTAACTAATTTTCTAATACTTATTTTTATTTTAAGAAACTCTACGAATAACATTTAACTCAGAATCGCTTTTAATCCAAAGTCAAGAGTCTATTTAAGTGTCATATATCGGGGACAACACTTACTGAATGGCATTCAATGACGACCCAGTTTGTATGCAATCATACTAAAACCAGGAATTATTTCTATTGTAATTTATTTTCTCTCTAGGTCCCTTTTTTAATTCCTGCAGTTCCTATTTTTATACAATATCACCTATTGTTTAACTCCCACTGGCCCCAATTCAATGTGAACAATTCTCTTAATGCTCTCATGCTATTTTATCGAGCACTATTCTTTTTCGTTTCTAAGCTAAATAATCTAATAAATATATCAATTTTAAATGATTTCTTATAATCACCTCATAAAGAGCTATCCCATAAGTTTATCGGGCTCTTGGATATACTTCATTAGTTTCGTTTGGCCTAAATAAATTTACCACTTTTCTGTGGACATTGGCAGGTATGAGAACACTCGTTAATCTCTAGTTATCCTATTTTAGAGATGGATTTTAATTCATTTTGGTCAGTCTCCTGTCGCCTGCTATTAGCTCATGCTGAAAGAAAGCAAGAGTTGGAGATTGAATTTGGCGGAGAAGAGGGAACAGGAGTTGGACCAACCATGGAGTTTTATACGCTATTTTCCGCAGAATTCAGGCAAGTTATTGTATTTATTTATTGCTGAACTTTGAGTCCCCATGTGCCTAGTAGTTTGACTTAATTACTATCGGGAGTATTACAATAATGAAGGTTCTTCAGGCTCTAAATATGCTATTGTGTGCTGCATGCTCTTTCTGATTTAATTTCGATAATAGTACCCGAGGCCTGGGTACAATACAAAATTTCATGACTCAATTCAACTAGAATGATTATATTAAAAACTAGCTCCTAAATAGAGTAATTTCTAAAAGTGGAGTAAAATTACGAATTGAAGTTATTAAACTAGCCCTTCGGCTTGCACTAATAGATATAATTAATTAAATTTATATGGCTAAAACAATCGCACATGTATATATATATATATTTACCGTATTTTTCGGCGTATATGACGATCCCCTGACTTTTCCAGTTAAAATATAGATTTTGTAAGGAGGTAATGGGCACAACAGAAGCTCGGAACCATATTCTAATCAGTAATCCCTAAACTAAACAGTGCGTATAAGACGACCTCCCACTTAGGAGCAGAAATTTATGGGGTGAAAAGTCGTCTTATACGCCGGAAAATACGGTATTTGTTAGAAAGTTTGAGTATATTCTAGTCTTAAATTAGTATTAAACTTAAAATAACTAAGTCCTATTAAGTAATGTCTGATTAATATGATTTTTTAAACTTTCATCTAAAGTTAGATAAATTCGAATTTAAAGCGGTAAGGCAGATAAA